TGTTGAGCAGTCAAATATTTGCACTGCAGCTGTGGCTGGGCGTAATAAAGTGCTTGTCTCCTAAATTAGTTTTCCTATGGCAAACTTATTTAAGGAAATTCCTAGAACTTATGAAAGATGAAGGAAAATTGTTTTTTCCATTTATGCATTTAAGGTTAGTAAGAAAGTTAATAAATTTTTTCATATACGAGAAGTTTATTTTTGATAATCTTACATTTTTTACTTAAAATTTAATTCAAAGCTTACAGGTTTTGTGTTTAAAAGTATTTTCCTGATTTTTTGAAAATAAAGGGTCCCCGCACATATTTTCTTTATTGTAATTTAAAATATGTGCCTTAAAAAAAATATTGTGGTTTTAAGTATAGGTTTCAAAGGTCGAGACCACTATATACCAGTTATCTACAGAAACACCAATGACACTCATTGGATATGATTGTTTATTTGATATTTTGGTCGAAATCGTTGGTAAAGTTTACGATGGGTGTATAATAGACACACCCGGAGGAGTTTCGTAACTATAATTCCCAGCAACCAGTTCGCCATATGAATGCTACATATTTCTGTGTTCGATATAAACTTCGTTTTACCCTAATTTATAATGTAATTTATTTTCGACGACTCCTTTTGATAAATCTCAAAGATACTACTAACATCGCGTTTGCTACGTCTAATGATGTCGTTGTCGTCAATGTAAGCATGGTTGATAAGTGCGATCACTTTCATGATAACCTAAAGAATATTATATGCTAAGATCTTTTCTTGTCTGTCATTTTGCATGGTTTTTAGAAGTTTGGAAGGACCTGATGGACCAGACTGAGCTACAGTGTCAGTTTTCAGCTTACAGTTTCTCATATCTGTTAGAAAACAAATAAAATATCACGTACTAGAAACAAACTAGTACTTACTAGTACTGGTACTTACTGGAGACAAACTTTACTTACAACTTTTTCCATTTACTTGTAATGGGGAAAAGAAGATACTGTACTGAGTATTATCTTTAATCTACTAGCTTCAAAGTAGATAATTAGAAGTAGATAAGTTGAAAGATGATAAGTATTACAATAAATAAAAATTAGCAATGACATAAAAGTTAGTAATTTAAACTTTATCGAATCGAGAAGCGTTTCCAAAAATAGTACACCTTAATATTAATTAAAAATTTAAAAAATATTTTATTTATTTATTATAAAGGAAGTATTTTATACCAAACTGACGTTTTCAAAGTCTTACAATTTTATTCGTGGAAAACTGTTTGTACCCAGATATACGAGTATATTAATTAGATAGAGATAGCAAATATTATCCTCCTTCGATACCACGCTTAATTTAACGACTTTTATTAATGATAAGTTGTACTGATTTCATGCTATATAAAATTATAAAGGAATATTTTCCAATGTAAAGGTCGCAGTAAATAAGAATTATAAAAATCAGTATTTGCTGTGAGGTTATCTTTTGGCAATTTAGGAATAGTGAAAATAACCGAGGTGATCCTACAATAATGTATTCAATGGATTCATTTTTGCATTCAATATTTTAAGAACGAAAAGATGATAAAACGATCATCTTCCAAATGTAGCATCCATTTATTTATAATAAATGATTTTGCTTTAATACAAATTTGAAAAACATAAACGTTGTTATCGTCACCTAATATAAAATGTCATTAGTTTTGATTGATGGATTTTGCTAAAGGGGTGGTACGGACAGGTGATGTGTGTCCAAGTTTGACTGTAACCATGATATAGAGATTACCAGATTGGATTTCTTTTATAATATGTAAAAATAATTAAAAATATTTTTATATAATCTGTGCTTAGCATATTCGACACACACATTAATTCGTAGATTTCGTTAGTAGAATATCTTCATTTTTTCAGATCTTATCATATATATAGGGAATGTGCAGTTGTCTCTTTCTGTTTCTGTTCCCTACAGCTTCTGCAGTTTCTGCAAGCGCTTCTTCTGTTTGATGATCTGTTAACTTAACCATCTTTTGGTTTCAGCTTCTGCAATTCCAGTCAAAGAATAAGTCTAATTTCTCGGTACAAGCATTTATTAGCAAGTGATCTATTAGCTTCATCAAGTGTTTTTCGCTTTTGTTCTTAACCCTTTTCAGAAAGACTTTCATTTTTCAATTTGTGTTTTTTGGGTGTTTAGCAATATGCATTTCTGCTTACCTTAGAAAATAATTTTGTAAATATTTTTGTTGTGTTCTTTTTTGGTAATCTCATTTCTTTTTATTCCACGGGGTTCTGAAAATCAAATATTTTTATATGACTTTCCTTTTTGGTATCAATTGTCTGTACAATTTTTTGCAGTTATGAGTTGTGGATTTATTTTCCATATATTAATTCAATATGTCAGACTTACCAGAACTACCAAAAAAAGTAATGAAAAAATTTTAACCACAAAAAAAAAACAAAAGTATTCAACTAAAAGCACCTGTTCTGGACCCACAAACACAACAAAAACAAGTAGTTATAGAATCGAAAGAATTGTAGCATTAAAATGCTCGTCACATCCATAACGTTTTTATTAAAAAATTGAAAAAAAATGATAAAAGTAATAACTTCCGGACATGCAAATGCCAGACAAAGGACAACAGCTAAAATAGAAAAAGGCAGAGACCCAAAACGACTAAAACCAAAAAAAAAAAACATATTAATGTCATATATTTGTATATATTTTTATGTATATAAAAAGGATACAAAAAAAAATATGATAACAAATAAAAAAAAAAATGGTGGACACCACATAAAAAAAAATGTGGCGGATGTGCCAAAAGAGTACAATGCCAATTCACATTTTGTTGCACTAAAATAACAACTCTGCAAGATAATGAAAGAACAACAATCGGGAAACTACAGCAAGTGGAACAACGGTAACAACAGAACATGCAGAGGACACCTTTATAAGGGGAATTACATGAATGTTCAAATCACGCGCCTTGTTTCAAACTTAAATTGTTTGTGTGTTAGTCTATGTCTGGCTGCGTATGTGTGTGTGTTTGTGTTTGTGTGTGCGTGTGTGTCAAGTTTTAAATCCGTTCTTCTTCTATTATGTTATGCTTGAAACAAAAAGGATTAAATGAAAAGCCATTTTTCCTTAAAATTACTGCAATGCAGAAGCCATCAGCGACAGCCACAACTCCAATGTAAAATACTATAAGAAACGGCAATAGAAAATCTGGTAACAACGACACTAGCAACAGCAACAGCAACAGCAACAACAACAACCACAACCACAACTACAAATAACGCAAGTGGCAACATCAATTGCTCAAACAAAAAAAACAATCATAAAAAATTAAAAAAAAAAAAACGACAGAAAGGAAAAGGAAAAGTAAAAAACAAAAAAAGAAAATAATAAGAAAAAGAAATAAACTACAGTCGCACTTAATGACTACACCGAGAATATTATATTTGTGGCAACGCACGCAAAACGAGAAAGATTAGAAGAAGAAAAGGAAAAATGAAGCCCCCGAAACATTAATTCTAAAACATAAAAAAGGATAACGCTGAAATAATAAAACTCGAGTTAATCGCTCGGATTAGCAGCTTAACTGAAAATTCTTAGCTTGTTTCTTTTATAATTAATTGTCTCATTTCAAGACAAGCGAGTATAGATAATATATAGCACATTGCAAATATTTCTTTGACAGATTGGATTTGGATCATTGAATATGTGTGGTCAAAATCACAATGATATTAAATCAAAATTTTAAATTAAAAAATTCAAGGAATAGTCATTCTAAACATTCTAAACAGACGCTGGCCAAACATGCTTGAAATTAAAAACACTTTATAAGAAATTGATAGATGTATTATAATACGAAGGGAGCAAGAAAAGTTTGCTTAGTTGAAAAACTTAATTAATTAATATAATATAAGAAGAATTTTTGTTGTTGTAGTTCATTACTGTTCAAAAATTCTCTACCAAATTAACTAGTTTCTATTAAGTAAAATAGTCACTTCCATCATACCAGTGATTAAATTACAACTTACACAAAAAATTCATTAATATCATGTTTCCACTACAGCTAAAACTACTTATGTTAATGAAATTAAGCTATGGTGGTTTCCATTGGCGTAAACTGATTTATGCATTTGAAATAGATTGTTTATATTTTACATATAATAGGTCTGTTCCACGAGCTACTCGTAGTAACTTTTAGTAACACTGTAACACTGTAGTAAAACAGCAAATTGTCGAGTAAATGAGAGCATCTGAGAGAGTGTAACATCCCTGTCGAAATTTTAAAATTCTACACATACCTTACACGTACATTTTATTTCAAGTAAAATTTGTATTAATGTGTGAATCAGCTGTTTTGGTTTGAGTTTAAATTTCTGTATTTTTGTTCTCATCAGATTTTACACAAAGCTATTCTATGAAAATCTATGTAAAGAGTGTAATTTGCCACTTCATTTGTGTTACGCTCTCAGTTTGTACTTTACTTGTGTTTTACTCGAGTTTTACTATAAGTAGCTTGTGGAACAGAAACATTTGGTTTAAATTTGGTGACACTGACAAAAATAATTATCTATTAAGTTTGGGCACATAAAGACAAATGTACTGAGTGTGATATGTCTGTCTGTATAACTTGACCTATGATCCTGAAATAATATTTCAGATATTATAAACATAGACCATTTACTTTGCATTTCTTTGTTTGGGTATTGTTTGGTGTTCGGATTGAATTTGAGTGATTTGTGTTTTTATGTTGTTTTGTATTGTGTCTACTTAGTACTGATCGTAATTAGTCATTACTTTTGATTTCTGCCGTTTACATTCTCTATGTCGCCTATATCTACGTCCACTCATTTAGTTATAATTGCAAAACACTTGTAGCAGCATAGGTATATAGCCTTTCTTCTACGTTGATGTCAAACATCAAAACTCTATTCATTCCTATGTGTTCCTCTAATTGCACTGCGGTAGATATGAGCTGTAATTATAATATATTTAAATGAATCTGAATTTATAGTAGAAGCATATGCATTTTTAACATTTTTATTAACTTGTAGTTTTTAATAGACATTTCTGATCTAAACTAAGACTTACTTATAGATAATTCGTTTGTGGCAATGACAATTAATAATTAATTTATAATTTTTAATGACTTTCGAAATGTTTGAGATTAGAGGTAGGTCACGATTCCATTGCCTACGAATAGTGCCAAAAATTTTCTGTATGCAAAATTGATTTTCTTTTCTATTTTGACATATTTTATCTTCAAAGACCAATGAAAGATATATTCTTCCATTATGTCACATAATGTATATGAACAAAAGTGCTTTTCGTCTATGTTATTTTGGTTTTTTTGATTTTTTGCAAGCTTGTTCTAACCGCATAGTTTTCTTAGATATCTTAACCCATATTTCTGGATGGCGCAAGTTTACATGATTTTTAAAGCCACTTAGTTTATAAACTCCCGAACAATAATTGCATACAACCATTTCCAATGTTGTAGTCTTTGGGTGTAAGCCATAATCGGGCATATCATTGCTATCTAATGGAATAACTGATTTTAAGGATGTTGAGGGTTTTTCCAAATCCTGTTTAGCATTTTCATGTAGTTTGTTGATAGTATCAACGTCATCTTTGATCAAATTGAAAAACTGTGACCAATTCTGTCCCCGTAACTTATAGAGTTCATTATTGTCAAAAGAACTACAATCTTTGTGACCATTATCAGTGTCTGAATTGTCGGAAGGCGGTGATGACATACTTTGGAAGTCATTTGATTCAACAACATGATCATCATGCTTTTGGACTTTTGTTTCTGGATTTGCTCGAGAAACAGCATTTTTCTCCTTAATAGCATTGCGTGCTTTTGGCATTTTTTAAGAATACTATAGAAAAGTTCACGGTCTTCTTAGACCTAAAAATTGTAAAATCATTTAGAAATAATATTTTTTCAATTTAATTTTTTTTCAATACACCTACTATAACTATTGTTGAGCAGCGGCTAACAGTAAACAAAACAACTAAGCACTGCAGATTAAAAAACTTTTGACGTTCAATAATTTATTAAAGTCAATTTGACAGCTCATACACAAAATATTTGTTTGAATTTGTTACAGCGATTTCATCAAGCATGCGTTATGCACTCAAACCATTTTCATAAGTCGGAGTTAATTAACAGTAGACGTTTTTAATTATATGGTAACAGGGATCGCCGGTATAACCTAACTTAATCTAACAGTAGATGTATGCATTAAGACCAGAAAACTTTTTAGAAACCAACTCCCACTTTATTGAAGAACATATTGGTTGGTCTACAAATTCTGCCTATAGACTAAATTAGTTAATAAAACAGCTTCTTAAACTTGGAATTCACTGTCAGCTAATATACGTGGTTTAAATTTAAGGGGCTGTAAAGACATTTAGGAGTTTCCGTTAGTACCTATGGTATAATATGTTTTTGTTTGCAATTTTATGTATTTATAGTTTAGTATTTACAATTCATAGTTCAGTTGGTATATATCGGGGTACACGCAGCTTGTTTTAAATATGTTGGAAATGGATTTTAAGATTAATTTTAGGACTGTTCACACATAAAAGTTAAGCGTATCTTTGAGGTTGCTGAGAGTTGACACACAAACCTTAGAATTAAATTGATTTAATGGAGTTTATTTAATCTGATGTTGAACCGTTTATATAAATATCGATTTTCAGAACCCAGAAACAGCTTTTAATTTTTCAATTAAATTAATAAAATACCTATATTATTATGAGAATTCGGAACATGTTTTTGTTATCACTTATTGCTCATTAAATGGCTTCATTGACAACATTTTCGTTTAATTTTTTAAAATACTTGAAATCTTATTATTTTAACATGAAGTCGCACCATTATTCCTATATGTTTCCTTTAGTAGTGAGATGTGCCGATCTCTACATAGTTTGACAGAACATTTCTTGGAGAGTTGCATTATATGGAGATTGTGGATACTGCAGACATATTGTAAGAAGATGGAGACACAAATGAAATTCATATATTAATAATGTTTGTGGAAATAACAATAATAGATACGCAAATAAACACAAAGTAATATTATGGAGATTTGCGGGAATAGAACTTCCTAGTTTGTTAATCAGTCTTTCGAAACCCAGTCCAAAAAGTTTTTGTGTAAAGAAACTAAAAACTTGTGATGCACGAAATTATCTTAGAAGAAGCGTTCGCTTGGTTATCTGTTAGAAAGCAAATGAAAGGAAAATCTGGGTGAAGAGTGATGTATAACTGAAAGGATTAATTACATTTCTGGATTATTGGTAAATAAAAAGGTAAAAGTTTAATAATCTTTATTAGATGTTGCTTGACATTTTTTTGTATCTATTTGAAGTTACTGCAATTATGTCAATATGATAACCCTTTGGGACTTGCTTGTAAAGTCACTTTGGGTGGTGTTGAACGGTACTTGGCCGTCGAGATTGACGTCGGCTTCGGGACATAGTCCCGGCCGTTTTTGGAACCGTTACCGCAATAGATCGCACTAATTACAAGGAGGCAGCTGGGCGCAATGAAGTTCTTTTCGGTAAATATGAGCTATAGTTTTGTTTAAATTAGTGAAAACTTAGAAGTACACATATTTTCAACATTTTTATTAAATTTCAAGTTTTATTATACATTTCTAAACTAAACTAAAATTTACTTATAGCTAAGTTGGTCGTTTTTGGCAATAACAAATATTAATTAATTTATAAATATTAATGCATTGCCAAAAATATGTATTTATTTAAATTTGGAAAACAAAAATTATTAAAGGCGGAAGTTAAGTCTTCATTTTGAATTACTATAACTGCTTTACTCATAAAACACCCTACGTCACTGTGACTATACACTCCATGTAAGACCTAAGCCTGCTTAACAACAGTCTTCCATTATTCTCTGTTTTTTGCTTTTCTTTTCCAATTTCTTATATTCATTGCTTCTAAGTCCTGCTGCACACTGTCTTTCCATCGTTTTCTTGGCCGCTCTCTTCATTTACTGGTTCCTACAATTAGTGATAATAATTTTCTTTATGCAATAATTCCTTCCTCTTTAATTTTTATAAATTTTACTTTCAAAAACTAAGGGAAGATATGTTCTTCCATTATGTTATGTTTTTTTAAGTTATTTCGAAAAATCAATATCTTCGTATTGAACTTTTACCTGTTAATACTGATCCTTGATTGAAGTTTGATTGATGGGAATATTGAACTGAGCATCCTTCTTACTAAACCTTTTGCAAAATGTCCTTAAGAATATTTGTCTCCACCAGAAAATCGTACTGGAGAGTTTAAGTTTAAATGTGTTACCATTATTCATCCCAAATTTTGTCCAATATCAGGTCTATACCGCTATTGTTGTGATAAGGAAGACAAAGGTTAATTAGTTGATGAAAATTGTTTAATAAAATTTGTGAAGTAAACTTAAAGTTTATCTAAAAGAAGAAGAAAACAAATATTTGAGTAAATATTTTGTTAGAAGCAATATATTTTGTGATGGACAGATTTAAACCTACTAAATTAACCTTTTAGGAATGAATTGAGAAGACCTCAGCCATTAGACTTAAAAGCCATCTGACAGAGTTATAATTCCACTAAACAGGGGAAAAAAATAAAAAGAAGTTTAGTATACTTTATAAAGTTCTGAAGATAGTATATATATCATTATCAGACTTGGAAGCCATCATCTGTACGGTTTTCACAATAAACTCTATAAACCTACAGGTGGGGATGTAGTCAGGTTATATTGTTATATCTTTTCTTTCTTATAAATAAATTTTGTAGTCCAGTCATAAGTTAAATGCAATTTTATTTTTATCTGTTTCTTAAATTTAAAATAAATTCAAAAAACAAAACAATTCAAGTCACAATTAAGTCGCCACTGTGATTATAATTGAAAGTTGGGCCAGTATTTCTTCAACTAAACTACATAAACTACAGCCATTCAAGGAATAATACACACAAGAATATTCCTAAACAAAAAAAGTAGTGAAAGTGGCTGTGTCAACTGAAACAATGTCCTGTGAAATATATTTTTTTTAAATATTTTTTTTTTTTTGTTGATGATGGTAACAATTGCAAGAAAAACAAGTTGACTGTGAAGTAAACACACAAAAAAAAACGATGGTTTTGATGTCACATCTCAGCAGTTTATGGCACCTAACAATATTCCAGGCTCGCTGATTGCTACCAAAAAGTTATTTCCTCTGCAGTGGTGTTTGGTCAACAGATTGTCAAACTCAGTTCAGCTTTGGTGCGCTCGGGCTGCAACTGGGTCACACACAGCCCAGCTGCTTGGCTGCTGTATTCCCTTTAGGCCAAGTTAGCAGTATTCCGCGAAGCAAAGTTATGAACTCCATCAGAAATTTCTTGAAATATTTTTTACTTTTATTTCCATTCTTCACGAAACATTTATAAATTATTTCGACATTATTTTTACCACTTGCGACCTAAAGATAAAATGTTCTATACGATATTTAGGTAGGCCAGAGATTCGTTAGTATGAGTAAACATTTTGTTATTTTTTATTTTATAATATAAATTTTTTATTTCTGTGTTTTTTCACTTTAAAAGTTTTTTTTCTTCTTTTTCTAAATAAACTCATTTTTGTGCAGTTAGACTACGACATGTGCTTCTAATATTACAAGCAGTAAATTTGCTTAAATTTTTATATAATGCGGTTTTAAGAGTCCACATTAAGCAACTTTTTAATATCAAAGAAGATTTTATCAAAGTAGAAAACGCTATTGATTGATTTTTAGATTGCTTATGGATTATTTTCCTATTTAAATAAGACAGAAAATGTATATTACTTTTATTTTAAATCAAAACAAAACTTTAAATTTAAACAAAATTAAAATTAAACAAATAAAAGGTACGCACCCTGTATATCCTTTGTTTGTTATATGTGATTTACAAATAAAAACCGAAAAGGTGATTTTATGAGGTGAAGCTTAATATCATTAATGAGGAAAAAGTTGAATTTTGATTGTACGCAACTTTATACAATGAAATAAATATCAATTTTTAAAATATACTAAATTAATTATATTATTTATTATTTATTTCCACATTTTAAATAGTGTGCACAATAGATCGAGCCCCCCAATACCAAAACCCCCCAATACCAAATAGTCATCAAATTTCAATATTTACTAAAATGAATTTTTAACATTTTTGGATTTTATTACAAGAAAATATTAAATTTCAAATAAAAACATAAATAATTTCAAAATGTTTAATTTACTTCTATTTTATATATTTACAGGATTTGCACAGGCATTTGGATAAAACAGTGACAGATGAACAAATATATTATATATTAAATCCTTTAACTCCAAGGAGAAGCATAGGACCGCAAAATTTATTTACTTTTAAACTTAAATATATTCTTTGATTTTACTACTATTAAGCTTAAACACTAACTACTGTTTAATTTTTTTTATTATTTAATATTCTATTATACGAAATAAAATAAAACAAAATGAAATAAAAGTTTAAAGAAAATTTAAAAATTTTTTTTATTATAAAAACTCATGGAATATAATACGCTTTGATCGTATTCCATCAAAAGGTAAAAGTCAAGAATATCTGAACGAACAGTAGAAAACACAAGAATAAAAATAGTCATGAATCCAATGTCAGCCTTGGCAACCTTGGCATCAGAATCTCCACTCGAAGTCATATCTTAATTTTTGGACCTTTACATCTTTTCTTGTGAACATTTATGTAGAAAATTTCGATAATCAGCAACCTCGCAATCAATAGCAAATAATTCAATAGGCAATCCAATGATTTTAGCAATAGATTTTAGCTTTATAATACCAAGAGTAGCAAATATAGTCGGCTAGAAAATTTATAACTTATAGAAAATAGATATTTCTTTTAAGATAGACAATCACTTGATATATAACCAGAATAAGAAATTTTTAAATTTAAAAAAGTTGTCAATTATATTTGAAAAAATTTCATTGAGTCTCATCAAGAATTGTACGACAGTCTCGTAAATTAGTA